TGCATATACTATGTACAAATATGCTTCAGCAGCCAGTCAAGTTCGCAAAACTCTGTTGAGTTTCTGGTACAGGGTATATTGCCTGCAAGAGGGGGGCTAACCTTTGGCAAGCGTGATTGATTTTTAAGCGTGTTTAGTTTGCTGCTGATTGATAGCAGCACACGAGCTTTCAAGGCATCGGGCTCCCCCCCTCACATTTGAACTACGCCCCTGGTCGATGTGTTTGCTTTGCCATACGTGATATTTGCTGCTAGTTTACGCGTGTCACACAAACGCGTCTCACTAATCATCCGGTTTGTTTGGCCAACAGAAATGTTTGCCTTCGATTTGCATAAAGCAAAAGCAGCGCAATCCATTTAACGCTCAATTAAAGCGCCTATAAAGAGTATACAAAGCGGATTCCCCCGCAAGGGGCAGAAGGAGTATGAGGAGGAGGAGGACGGCTTTCAATTTGATGTGGTTTTCCATGCGATCTATTATAATATGTGTGCGCACAGCAAATCACATTCCATAAATTTAGCCAATGTGCGTTATGTAAACTCGGTAACATTTTCCACCACATTTCGCTAATTTGGCGAAAAGCTGCTGCCCGCATCAGCCCTATTGGCCATGCATCATGTCAATTTTGGTAGGCAACGTTTTTGATTAAACGCGCTTAAAGCCAAAATCTGACAACAGCAGCTGTTGTTGGCAAATGTCTAAAAAGGGTCGAATAGCTGCGTGCTAGCGAATGCAACAGGCAGTAGGACGAGCTGATCCAGGTCTAGCCAGATTCGACAAAAATTAGACAAACTAAATTCTCTAAGATAGATATTCTTCTCAAGTAAATAACGATAAATATTCTTCTAGCATTTACAGCAGGATTTCTTCTGATATCTTATACCCTTTTCCTTATATCTATTAAAATCGATTTGGAGACATGTCTAAGGGCAAGTTATACAAAACTTGATATGTACATCCTAGTATAGGGTATTCAGAATAAGAAGACTTCACCTTTAGTCAAAATTGAATTAAACCTTGTTTTGAGTGTAAAACGTCGCGCTAGGGTATATACCTCTGTATGCCATACTTAGGCACTTAAAATTTCATAAAGATCGGACTATAAGCACCGAAGTTTATCAGGAAATCATTGCCCATACATAGAAAAGAATATAAGTATGTTCTGTGTGCAGGGTATCCGTTAGTCGTGTATTGCCAAACATTCCTATTTGTTTGTGTGTGCTGATCGATGGCAAAACAACAACAACAACGACAAGTTGTGCTTCGGGTTTTCCGCCAGCCGCATCGTTAATTTGCTCAACATGAGCACGCAGCAAATTTTCTATGCATAAACTTAAAATTAGCACCCAGCAAAGCACACACACACACACGCACACTCACACACACATACACACACACACACACACACACACAGAGAGCTGCTTGCCGCTCTGGTCATAAATTTCGTGCCCGCTGATAAACAATAAATTAAGTTCAGCTTCAGCCGAACAGGACACGTATCCTGGCTGTTTCATGGATTTCCCACGCATTTCCACGCCACGCACGCATACGTGCAAAATTTCCAAAAGCTAATTTCGTTCGGTTTTCGTTGCCCGGCCAGGCTCGGGCTGGGGGCCAGGCGGGGGCCCACTTTGGGCATACGCTTCATGTGCTGCGTTTTGGCCAGAGCACAGCTAGGTGCGTCGGTTTAAATACCCCAAAATGAATGGCTAAAAGAAGGTTATATGCAAGTTGGGTGTGAGAATCGAATGTATTTTGATAATACATTATCAAAAAAAACGAGAGTGCATTTTATATATCTTATAGTATATATATTCATCTGAATTGGATGTCCCTGAACCCTCTTCTTCCAACGTCAAATGCATATAAATTCTATTTTAGAAGCTATATGTCAAGTTTGGTGACTAGCTCTTATTATTTACCAAAATTGTCCAAAAAACAGGACATCGATATAGATTTTTATCGATTGCTTGGAAACGGAGTAAGTTATTGATTATCGGAAACAAACTCGATCTGCGCGGGAACTAGGAGCATCTACATCTAAAATTTCAAAATTTCTCTAGCTCGTATAGGTTCTGAGATCCTTACGTTCATACATACGGACGGACGGACGGACGGATAGACGGACATGGCTAGATCGACTCGGCTATTGATGCTGATCAAGAATATATATACTTTATGGGGTCGGAGATGCTTCCTTCTGCCTGTTACATACATTTGGATTTTGCACAAATACAATATACCCTTATATCCATTTTTAATGGATTCAGGGTATAAAAAGTCTAAATATTGCATAAAACTAACAAGCCAGCTCGACCACTGCAGCGCTGCTTACAGGGTATCTGTGTGCTGTTGTTTAGTTGTCTAGTTGCCTTTCTTTGCCTCGCTGTCAAAACTATTTTCATTTACAGCAACTATTTCAAATTCAGGCTCAAGTTATCTTCTTCGTGTTGTGCCTTTAAGCGATTTTATCTGCGCTACAGCTTTTATCTCATGTATCTTATAGATATACTTAGTGTAACCTCGAGATATCAAACAGCAAATTAAATATGCAAATTTGGTGTTCAGTTCAGTTTTCAGCTCTCAGTTTTGCTGCATATCTCTTGCAGCGTGGAAATTGCTTTTCTTTTCGCCTCTCCCTCTTATTTTTTTTGTCTCGTTTTTCTTTTCGCGTTGTTTTTAGAATTATCTACACTTTGGATACTTTGCATATTGGCTGAGCGTTTGGTGGGGCACGTACAGCAATGTTGCGGGCGCACATTAAATTTAACTTTGTGTTCGAATTTCGCAGTAAATCGTAAAATTTGTCATGCCCCGAAACTCGTCATAGCCATGCCCCCCCACCCATACCCAACGCTTTGCGTGCTTTACGCATGTGGTAAAAGTTTTGCGTATGTTTTGCAGCTGCCTTTTCGCGCGTGTTGGCCAAAAAGTTTTCGCTGTCGATTTTCGTTGCGTGCTTTTGCGGCGCGTGCGGAAAAGGAAATGTGCAACAGCAGCCGGTTTGGGGCCGGGATCGGGGCCGGGGCAAAAAAAAAATCAGTAGCATACTTTTGTGCGCTTTATAAATTTCGACTCTTACGACACGTTTGGCGCCCCGCTCGACAACCCGCCTGCAATTCAGTTCAAAGTTCGATAAACTGGTTGCCTTCCTGTCTGTCTCTGTTCTGCTACTGACTCTGGCTCGTCCTTCTCATAGCTTCTGCCTGCTGCTTGCCTCATTCAATTATTCCAATTCCAGCTGGCTGACTGCGCCGTGTACGCTGATTTCTGCAAAACGCTTTGATGTGCAAAAACTTTGAGACACTGTCTATCCGTCCGCCTGTCTGACTCGTCTGACTCTCTGTGCCTGCCTGGCCGTCTGTCTGTCCTTATCTATATCGCGTATTGATGAACTTATTTTAGCAGTTGGCTAAAACAAGATTCGCTTCTGGTCCGGCCTGGGCGCTTATCTGGCCATGTTCCTTTGCCTGACTTTTGTGCTGTGCCCAAAGTTTCGCTGCAAAAACATAGTTAAGAAGCCAAACTGAGAAGTTTTGCTTCTTTTTTTATTTTGGAGAGCTATTGCCTGGCCATTTGGCTAAGCTGTATTTGCTCTTTTTGATTTCCTGTTATATATAAGCTGCCCCCTACCAAAGCTGCCTGCCCCGCCCGCTACCGCCGTCGTCAATTCAGCGGCAACCATATTAATTTTCAATTAAATCGCGTTTCATATTGCTTCCGTGCTGCGGTTTGTTTGTTAATGCCAAATTAAATCCTAGCCTCGAGCACTAAATGCTCGCCAAAAGGGGAGCTGAACACGCACCGACTCACACACCAAGATTGATCTAGTCGGAAGAGACCGACTAGGAGATACCCTAAAGCCAGTGTACGATTCTTCTTTCCTTTGACAAACGTTTGTATGTGAATGAGTTGTTGATTAACTTGGTCTCTTATAGTCGGATTCTTATGCTTTTGTCAGGGAATTTATATGACATTCAAATGTGTATAAATACCAAAGCTCGAGGCTATATCTCCAATTGTTCTTACAATTTCGACACTAGGGGGAAAAGGTATTAAAAAGCATTAAATATTCGTGATCTTTTAATACTAAACGAGAGTTCATATACCAAAAATAGCGTCTCCAGTTCTTAGAAACTGCCAGATATGCTCAAAAGAAAAGATATCGATGTCGATTTTTATCAATTTCTTGGCAATGGAGCGAGTAAGCGATGTTCTACCTCGAGCCGGATCTTTTCTTAATTTATAACCATCAACGTCCAAATTTAAGAGTATCTAGCTTTTATAGTTTTCTCATCTCCAATGACTTCTTCCGTCTGTTACATACATTTGCACAGAATCATTATACCCCGTTTATCCAATTTAAACAGATGCAGGGTATACCAATAACAACAACAAAATATGGGCTGAGCAAACAGTTAGAGAGAAACAAACATGAGCCGATATAAATAAATTCGCATTTCCAATGAAACGTTAATAATCCATATACAAATCTATATATACAAAAGAGATGCAGGAAATGCTGGGCAAAGCTTCAGTTTGGGTTTCTATATACACACACAGATATATGCACATATATATATGTATATGTAAAGAAGCATACAATATGCTAAAGCAAGAGCAAAAACAAAACGGGGAATATAATTGTTTGTTGAAGATTTTTGTGTTTTTCTGCTGAATTTTTATGAGAATTTTATTACTTTTCAGTTTTTGCGAGTGTTTTGTGCCTTGCCTGGCATAGCGCACCCCTCGCTAACACACATACACAAGCTTACTAACACACACACACACACACACACATACACACACACACATGCGAGACTGTACCACATTGTGGCCTGGCATTGGAAGGCCTTTTACTCGAAACAATACGTATGCACAATGAAAATGAAAATAAATTTCCATTTGGCACAAGTTTTTTTTTTATGCTACAACAATTTCACACTCTCACTGCCCCTTTCTCACACTCACCCCTCTCTCTCTCTCTCACTCTCTTGTAGGCTCGAGCGCTGCGTTGGCCCCGACACCAGCAACAACAACATTAACAACAACAATCTCGCCCTCAAATCTGCTGCCCTATTTCGACTTTGATGTGCCGCGAAACTTGACCGTCACCGTGGGCCAAACGGGCTTCCTGCACTGCCGCGTGGAGCGACTGGGCGATAAGGATGTAAGTATCAAATATAACCATATACACCCAAGAGGGTGGAGTATATTCTAGACATTTGTTAGGGATTGTATGGAAAACGGGTCGCATGCAATCGGGAAAAGTCGCAATGGGCTAAGCATGGGCACATTTAGCACACAGTTTAGGGATCTTCCGTGAAAATAGCAGATCGAACATCTTTCTAAATAAATGTCGATTGTTCCTAAGACAGCTATATAATATTGCGGAACGATCAATGATACCATGATCTCCAGTTGTAATAATATATATCGATATTATGAATTATATTCCAGGGAATACGCTTAAGCTTAAAATAGAATACAAGCATAATGTTGCCAGATGTAGATGCCACATTGATTTAGAGGAAAAACCATGATTAAAAAGCAAAACCAAGGGTAAATCGGTAAAGTGTTGATGGGATGGGAAATCTCTCAAAGATCTTTGAAATTGACTTTAAGTTTCATACAAACGTTTTTTCCACATATGCGAGTTGAACCTCACGACAGTTTTATAAATAGAGTATTATATAGGCGTGCCACGATTTGCAATATCTAATTATAAATCAATTATGAAATATTTGAAAAGCAAAAAAAAAAAAACCAACAAATTCTTGCTGCCAAATTTCTGAAATTCGAGCTGATTTTTATTAATTTTTGTACCCAAGCTCGGAACATGAAACTTCAGAGTTTTGCCTCTTAACTTTTTAATGCAGCAGCATTTTTTACAAAGTATTTTTTCCATGAAAAGCAAGTAAGGGCAGAAAGGAAGAAGCGCATGCCAAGGCACAAAGTGTTGCAATGCAAATCCAAGAAATGGAAATATGAACTGCTTTGGTAACAAAACAATTCCTTGGAGATTTGCGCTTATAAAAGCTGCCGGATTTTTTCCTGCCGGATTTTTTCCTCTTTTTTTTGGTTCCTTTACAGCTAAGTCTTTCTAGGAACTACTTGACTTTGCTTTCAATTTTGCGTTTAGTTGATAACAAAAAAATATGTATGGAGCAGCGGGGATTTGAAGCTATTTAGGCTGGCAAATGCTCAATCATTTGGCTTGACGTGAGGCAGTGATTGCCTGAGCCTGGCCAGCAACATTGATTGAAGGTCGCCATGCTGTTAACCCTTTGCAAAATAGTAGTAGCAGCAGGAGGTAAAGGAGGAGAAGGGGTGGCCTGTAGGCTACTCCTAATATGTCAACATCAGCAGCAGGAGCAGGAGCAAAGCCCACGCAGCGACAGCTTTGGGCGGTCACGAAGGCAAATACGCCCACGAGTGGGACTGGATTTGAAGTGTAGAGGATGGATTTATGCTGGCGCTGTAGATGTATATTAAATGCGCAGGACTCGAACCAAATTACTGCCTGATTACTGGAGCTGCACTCGAAGCGAAAAATGTTGCCCACAGTCAGGTTCAGGCGAAAGGCAAGCGGCGAGCTAACGAGGTTGGGTTGACAACGGGGGGTTGGGCGCTCGAGCTAAGACGAAATGACTAATTTATGAGCCATCAATCACGTGACTGACTATGGCCATCAGGCATTTGCTGCAGGCTCGTCGGCTTTAATTTGCACCAGCGCGTGCCGGAAACGGAAGTTGCGCTGCGTAAAGGAAGCCAAAGCCAAGTGCAGACACGCAGCTTAATCTAAACGCGCAGCAGTGAAGCGAAAATAAAGAAGGGCGCAACAAAGTTTAGCTCGTTTAAGACAAGTTCTCCTGGCGAGTTCATTAAAAGCATTGAAAGTACATTAAATGACAGGCAAAAACATTCCGAGAGCATATACATGTAATATATATATGTATGTATATAAAGCCCAGAGAGCCTTGCCCTTGAGCCCTTAATTACAAACTGTCCACTGGGCATTACAGACTACTTAGTTTCTTGCCTCCGACTGCTGCTCCTTGTCAGACTCGACGACGACGACGCCGAGGCTGGCGTCAGCAGCTGGCGGCACGGCGACATCGCTGCATTTGGAATTGACCATTGGGGATTTGGGATTTGAACTGGTGCTCACCATGGCCAGCTCGATGGCCGTTTCGGTGCTGTTCGAGGCATTCAATGTTGGCGGCATTTCGGTTTTGTTCGTTTCTGTCAGCGGCACCTGCTTATTATCCACAGCAGCAGCAGGCGGAGGAGGGGGAACAGGTCTGGGCAGCGAGGAGGCGCTCGAGGAAGGCGTCAGGAATTGTGGCTGCGAGGAGTGCGCCTGGACATCCAGCTGATCATGATGCGTAAACATGGATGCCGTTGTCGAGGCAGTGTCTATGGTCAGCTGCTGCTGTTGCTGCTGCTGCACGCGATTTGGATTCGGAAAGGGTCGTCGATTTTCCAAAATGAGCTTAATATCGCGCGCCGATTGCCACCAGCTGGGAGGGAGGGTTGGTGTATAGGAATTGGAAACCAAATGCAAATACTGCTTACCGATACCAGGGCGTTAGCTGCGACTTGATCAGCATATAGATATTGGCAAAGTAAACAGTAATCTGTGGGTTGAAAGGGGGCTTCTTCATATAAGACAGAGAGAAGAGAGGACAGAGAGGTAGCTGCCACTCGATACACACCGTCATAAACAAGAAGAACAACATCCAGGACTTGGTCCACAATTTGCTCAGTCCCCAGGATTGCGTGTGCATCGCATAATACTGTATGCCCACCAGCAAGGTGCCAATTATGCCAAATGCGACCAGTGTCAGCAGCGAGAACATTTGGCAATCCTCCTGCAGGGCGCGCCGGCTCATGGCGCGCGAGTACCACAAACGCAGCGATTGCAGGCAGGTGTAGCTAATGAAGAGAGGGTCAGGTATGAGGGGGTTAAAACTGAACAAGGGCTGCGCAAATGTGGAGCAATTAGTTAGCTCAAAGCTTTCAGTGATTAAAAAAGTGCCAAAGCCTAAGCCCCGACTTCGGCTGATGAAGAGTGTCGACTGTCGAGTTTGCCACACACTTTGAACTGTTGCCACTTGGCTTGCCCCAAGCCCTCCCCACCAGCCCTTCCCGCGAACCGTTGCACGGCTTTTATTGCACTTACCGCAGCGTCTGTTCCGTGTTATAATGAAACTGGCACAGCTCACAGATTGTGCAGCGCGAGGTACTAATCCAGCGCTCCAGGCAATGTACGTGCACATATGTCAGCGAGCCCTTGCACAAGCACGGCGACACGAGTCTGCAAAGAGAACCAAAAAGGGGGGGGGGGTTAATAGGGGGTTGTGTGTTAACAACAATAGCGGGACTTAAATGTGCGGACAGACGGGCAAACAGTTCAACAAGCATCCGGTGCAAACAGCCTGACACTTCCATATATATGCTAAATACATATGTTGCGCCTCCGGCTGCATTTTAATAATTTATATAAATAATAATATTTGCGAGTTAAACTACAGATAAATCAGCATATATATATATATATATATATATATATATATATATATATATGTACTTATGTAATTGTTATGGCAAAGTCCATTACGCTAATTTTATTAAAATGTCATGCAATTAATTTTTGCATTTTGCGGTCGCACGCACAATGTTTATTGTCATGCAGTCTGATACCCTGTAACCGCAGCGATGCAGGGAGTATATGCATTTCTGTATCATAGCATGAATTTAGCATAAGCTTAACAGGGTATATGTAGGATATTATAGGTTTTATAGGAATATCGTGGCGGATAGTTACTTTATATACAATACTGTCAGTTTTCCTCAAGAAGATTCTCGGAATTCGAAAATCTTCGAAATTTATACAAAAGAATGTTCAACTAAGAAATCATGTGCCTTTTACAGGGCATTGCCTAGTCGTTTATACCTCAACAATAGCTCTGCCGTGTATTATAATTTAAACGGCATAGATGTGTGTTTATAGATAGTTATATGTGTGGGGGATTTATTATCGTACTCACTGTTCGGGATTATCGGCATTGTGGCAAATGCGACAGACGAGCGAGCCAATCGATGGCATCGAATCGCTGGAATTGGTCGCCTCGCAGTCCAGGTTGAGATTGTTGCACTGGGTGCCGCTGTCCGCGCAGCGACGCAGCATCGGAATGGCCGGATCGCTGCCAGCTGCCATTATGGTGGCACACGACGAGATGTTGGCCGCGGCCAGGGCTGCCTCGGTGCTGGCCAGCGGCTGGGTATAGTTGTCGATGCTTTGCGAAAGTATCTGGAACTGGACATTCGGTTTAAGGCCCAGCGTTATGGAGCAGCCGGCCTGATCGGCTGCCTCGACATGATTGACTGCATCACGCTCGGCATGCTTTGCATTTGTGTTGCTGTTGTTGGCCTGCAGCGGCACTTGGGGCTCCATCGAGCTGATGCATGTCTCGACAATGATCATGGAGGGTGGCGTATCGTCGGCGCTGCTGTTCGAGACAAGCTCATCGATGTCCAGCTGTAAATTGGTGTCCGGCTTCAATGAATCCGGCTCGACCTGGCCGCCAGTGGCATCTGTAGAAGGTGCAAATAGAAGCAGGTTTTATGTATAGTAAAATGATCTAGAGCAGACCGAATCGCTCGCTGTCCATTGTGAGCTGCTTGGCTATGATTCCCTATGATAATCCGATATGCAAATACAATTATATTCAAAGGCGAGGCTCTCCTTTTTCTCTCTCTCTCTCTCACACACACTCTTTCTCTATCTTTAGCTTGCGCTTCTGTTGATACTTGTGGTATATATTAACCAAAATTTTAAAACATTCCGCTTGTATAAAAACTCTGATCGATTATTGTGTTCTTATGTGCTACAACATTCAAAAGCGCCTAGCTACTAACTCAGCGACTGCTTGATTCTAACTGAGAAAATTGTATATAAATGGGATATATGTATATATTTGTATATGTATGATTGCCTGATCTTTTCTTGTCCTACGCCTATGCAGTTTTCACCAATTTGCCAGGTTTCACCTTTTTTCCACCCATATTTCACCTGGCAGCGTGGAATCCGACTATCGACGTGTTGCAAAATGCCATTTAGATACGTTGGCCTGTCTTAGTGTTGGAAAATTCCCATCGTCAGTTTGTACCCCCACAACACTCTTTAATTGCGCAGCTTTTGGTACAGCAATTAGTTAGTTTGTTAGTTAGAACAGATAAAAAGAGAGCACAATGGAAAAAACAAACATTAATTGTAATTGACAGAGTGGAACCGCGCGCTGTCACCCACAGCTACTGCCCATAAACTCAAATTGAAAGTGTAACAGTTACGGCAAATAACTTTGTCGCCGCTTCGCTTTCATCCCAAAAACACCCTGCAACCGGCACCCTACTCCACCCACCGTACACTGTTATTTCTAGCCCGGACTATGCACTCCAAGTTGTCGGCTCTGCTCTGCTCTCGTGTAATTTATGCCTGCGCTGTTAGTTCGTTAGGCTTCTCTGCAGCTGTGTGTGCCTGGGTGTGTGGGTGTGTCGGTGTAAGAGTATCTACCCTCTGTGTGTGTCATTACCATACCGAGCTGCTGCTTCGAATTTTACTCCCTTTTTTGCCGTGTGCGTCAGCTTGTTGTTTTTTTGCTCTCTCACTCGAGTTTTCTTTTTTTTTTTTCGGCGCCGGAAGCTGTTCGAATCCGCTTGTTCAACTTGACTTCACAGGATTCACTGCGTGCGCCGTTGATTTATTACGGCGGGCGCAAAGCCAACGCAAAACATTCTCATAAGCGTGTTCCGTTCAGCATCAACAACATGAGAGGCACCCGCAATTTGGTCATGTAACAACAACTACAACAAAAAAACACGATGAAAAAAGATACTAGCGTACAACAAGCACAAATTGAAGCCTTTTAAGTTGCCGAAGTTTAAATACCCTTGCAAAGTTGGAGGAATCAATATCCTCCTAGACATGGCTTGGATATGCTTCGATAGCAAAGCTTTACTGTCGCCCAATTGTTCCTGAAGGAGTCATATAATATTTTAGATCGATTTGAGATCGTTTTGCAGAACTTGGTATATATCTTGGAAAATAGAAAAGTTCTCCATGCAATAAAGTCAGATCTCGATCCTTTCTTTGGTTCTTTGGGGGTTAAATTCAAGATATCGCAGTCTCTTCAAAAGCAAAAATGAAACTGTATTTTCAACCGATTGTTCCCTTGGTAGCTTTATTTCAGTTGATTACCAGGAACAGAACGCAGACCTATTACAGACTTGGATCTATAGGATCCTACATGTTGATCAAGCATATACACATGAACTTCTTAGAGTCGTCGGCCTTGCCAAAAAGTTAAAATGCCCGCTGGCAAGTGTATGAAAAAAGGCCATTTCAATATCTATATCAAAGCGAAAAGTTTAGCCAGCGAACCCTTTTTAATGCCATGGCCGTTCGCTTGTTTCTGACGCGTTGTCCCAAAAATCGGTTAACAACTTTGTTTACAAACAGTTCGAAGAGTGGAGAAAAGTCAGAAAAGTGGAACATGAAAAGTGGAAAGTGAAAAGTTGAGATTTTTATTCACGCTGCGCATAATTTACTTTGTCCAGCGATTGTCTGCTGCACACACAGACTGAGAATGCACTCAAATGATCAGATGATGACCATTTCATTTGGTTGTAGACAAAGTTCATTAGTTTTTCCATTTTGGGCCAGGCAATTTGTAAATAGGAAAACAAAGCGGCAAACAGTGTGCACAATTTTCTTGGCTTTTACAATTTTAATGAAATTTTCACACCATTTCCGGCTGGGACAAAGCCAGCGAGAGAGTTGCCACACACACACACACACACATACAGACAACAACTGCAACTGTGTAGCAGCTCTCAATTTGGCCGAGAGCTTCCCAAAGTCCAAAGTCTAAAGTCTGTGCCTTGTTTAGAGACGCAGAAAATGCGTCAGCAAAGTTTTTAATGTATTTTCGCCAAGTTTGCACGCACACACACACACACACACACAGACACCGAGAAAACTTCCTTCATTTGGCAATGTTATAAAATGACAAAAACAAAAAAAAAAAAAACAGGCAGCAGTAGTTGAGCTGGCCAAAAAACTGGAACAGGCCAACAGGCAAAAGTTTTGCCCAAGCCAAGCAGCACACAAAGTGTTAAATAATATAAAACTATGCTTGTGGTATTTATTTAAACCTAAAGACATTACGAAAATTATACCCCGAGCACAAAGTTTACCAGTCGACAGTCACGCCCCTCCCCTACCCACCTGCAGAAGCCCCACCAACCAGTTGCTGACACTCTGGGGACACGACTCGGCGGGCAATACGGGATCTGGTTGTAGTTGTAGCCTGTCTGCAACCTGTGGCAAGCTTTGCAAATCCCTCAGCAACGGTGAATTGAACTAACTGCTGTCCAAATATACAAACAAAATATACATAGATATATACATATCAGTTATATACATACATATATATATACATATACCTTTATAGTGCACCTGGCTAAAAAGCTTTGGCCCCAAAGTTGAGAAACTTTCCACTTTTGCTTTTGGATTTTGCTTGGAAATTAAATATTAACGGATTTGGTTACAAAAAAAAATATCGTAGTTCGTGATTACAAAACTAAGTAAGTGGCTTCAGAAACTGATGACTTAAGCGTTTGACATTAGGTTGCCCTTAGCTGTGTATTTTGTAACAAAATAAAGAAAGAAATATATAGTAGCTATTATGATTGCTCGGCTAAATGAAAACAAATGAACTAACTGAGCATATTGTCTATTGTAAATCCTTTTTCCCTTGCAAATCACTTTTCTGCAGCTCTGTTAATCTACTCGAATGGACAAATTCTCTTTGCTATCGTCTCCTTCTCTCAGATTAGAAACAAAACTATATAATATGTTATGCACTATATCATTTTCATCAGCGAGAAGCAACATATATTTATATTTGCAATATTTTGATCGATACTTTTCTTCTATTTTTATAATATCGATAAGTATCGATTATGAGACTTGGGGTTTTCAAGCATAACTCGAGGATTATACGAGCTAGAGACACCCAATCTGATATTTAGATTGTTGCATAGTATTGGGAATATTTCACAATTTAAATAACTCACAATATTTCGACCAAAAATGGCTAAAAATGCATTTCAGTAGATAAAGCCCAGCGCCTTGGAATAGCCACTCTTTTGTAAGCCATACTGATGCCCTGGAACATCTTATATCTATATCTTATGAGCGAACCATTAACTCCGAAGTTAATCAGGTTTACATTTCGCATAGGGTATATTTATATAAAGCAGGCATCCACTGGGCGTTGGGCTTAGGATATCTCCCAGTCAGGCACGCCCAACTGGCTCCCTTTTATAGATATTACTTAACTATTGGCAATATACAGTCAATCTGTCTGCTGTTATTGCCGCTCTATCTCTCGCTCTCTATTAAAAGACTGACCTCGCGCAGTAAACGGGTTTAGTTTGAAGTCCATTTCGGGGCTTTGCTTGGGCTGACCCCTTTTTTGGCCATGTTCTATGGTCGTATTGTAGGCGTTTTATTTGGAATTCGCAAATGCATTGGCTTATTTGGCGTCCGTGGAATGCAGGACAACAATTCGGAATCGAAGTCAAGTCTATGAGGGAAAGCATAAAATTGGCACATAAAACTTTTACAAGCAAATGAATTTTATTTTTACGTATTACGTGACCGTTGCCATTCGCAGCTTTTCTCCATTTTGATGGCAAGGCTTTTGTTGTTGTTGTTGTTGTTGTTGACTTTAGCGGCAATCGAATGAATTTATTAGAAACGACCCGGATCAGAGAACACTGGCCAGGGCCAATATAAGTAGTAAAGCAAAGGCAGCGATACAAAATGAAAGGATAGCCAGGAATTGTTTATTTACGCTATTTACTTGTACTTGATAGTTCCGTCAGTTCTGTTGGTTCCGTTTTTTATTGGCAAATGCTTCGCACATGCTTCGCTGCCTTTAAGCAAGGACCAAGTCATAAAATCTATTAATGAAGAACTGGCCAAGTTTTGCGTGGCATATTTTACATTTATGTTGACAGCGCAGTTTTAAATACATAAAAGTCTATACCTATATACATATATATATATACGTACTTCTCGACATTACAAAAGTTTTTGGCCAGCGTAATTAAAATTGAGCATCACGACAACAACAACAACAATGGCAGAGTGAAAACAAAACTAAGGTCATTAAATAAATTGGAAACAATGTGCCAAAAGGGCACAAAGGTCGACCAAAATGCCGGAGCACAGAAAAAAAAAAAACAGAAAGAAATCTCAGCGAAACAGAAAACCAGGGCCCCAGCCGAGAGGGTTTTTGGGTGCGGCGACAGAGCGAGGCAATCAAATGAAAATGTAATTCAAGCTCTAATAAAAATTGGCCAAATAGAGGCCAACCAACAATGGGCCTGGCTGGCCGCTCGAACCGTGCTCCACTTCTATCTGCTGCGTAAAAGGCATTTGAAACAATTCGAGAGCCGGCGACAGGACATTCGACTGCAAAATGTCGCCAAGCTTAAAGACTTTGCAATTGTCTGAGTAATTTATGTAGCCGTAGCTATAAAACTGTAGCTTTTAGCATCGATAAGAGCTGCTTTCATTTGAAAATCTTTCTCTCCCTCCCTTTTTTTTATTTGGTTTTTTTTTTGGTTAGCTGTCAACGTTGCGTATGCGCAACCCTTTTCACACACATGAATACGGGGATAATACGCACTTAGGCTTTGGTTTAATGGTTGCTTTCTTTTATACCCTGACAGAAGGTGTTCCATGTTAGATGTGGGAATCGTTCGGTTCGCCTAACTATGTCATGCAGTTGTCAAGGGAATGCTTGATTAAGAGCAACGTTGTTTTTATGAACAACTTTTCTGTGTTTCGCGATAGCTCGACTTAGCTTTACTCCTACGAGCTTCACGTATCTTTGAATATTTCTGTGAATCGTCTCAAATCGGACTATTATATTATTCGATTCAGGTAGATCGAAAAGGCAGAGGAGCTTATGCATTCCGAGCACTTCCAAGCCGTATGTCTAGTGTATTTACTATTCGACTCCTTAATAGATTCTAAATAGTCACAAATTGTGAAACTCTATCATATATTACCAGGAGATCTAATTGGAAATTTGTTTACAAGACTTCCAAATATGTATGGTAATATTTCCCAATTTGCCAATATGTAAAGGGTATTAAATATTCGTTGTTTTCTCGCATTTGCTGGTATTTGTCGTTGATTAAATGCGAGAAACAAAAGCGAAATGCTTAAGATTAACAAAACAGCAGCAAACCAAAAGAAGTACCAAAGTAAACTTTGCGCTTTGTTTGTGTGGCAAGTGGCAACTGTGGCAAGTGTGGCAAGTGTGGCAGTGTGGCAGTGTGGCAGTGTGGCACGAATGCTGGCAACAAGACTGGATACATCGGGCACACAAAGCGCTGTTAAACGCACTTGGGCGAAACTTTTAAGTGCGGAATTTGTAATTTTTAAACTTTTCAACTTTGCAGACACAGAGCACAGAGCTCAAGTGAACAACAAGTCTTTATCTCGCAGCTACTCATTTTCTCTTTCTCACATTCTGCAATTCCATTTCTTCTACTCTTCTTGTTTTCAGGTCTCGTGGATACGCAAACGTGATCTGCATATACTCACCGCCGGCAGCACCACCTACACCTCCGATCAGCGCTTTCAGGTAAGTAACAATTGCCACGCGCCCACCTCCCTTATGTTAATACTTATGAATTGTGGCGTGTTGCAGGTGTTGCGACCCGATAACTCGGCCAATTGGACGCTGCAAATCAAATATCCGCAGCCGCGCGACTCTGGCGTCTACGAGTGCCAAATCAATACGGAACCCAAAATGTCACTCTCATATACATTCAATGTTGTGGGTGAGTATGAATCCGCTAGAATGAGTGGAAACCAGGAATGCTAGCTGAGTGGGGCATAACGTTACGCAGTGCCTCAGCTACTTGGCTAGGCGAAATTAAAGGGCGTCTTGCAAAGACATTTAAGCTAAAGTATTAATTTATTTAAAATATTTTAATTGTTAGAGAACAAAACTAGAAACTGTGGCAAGAAAAGTCGCTGGTTCAATATGAGACAGTTGCAATTCTAAGTAATAGTTCTGCTCTGACAGATATTCTTATTCAAGGCAGAAAACATCTGCGAGCCCATATCGCATGTAAATATCAATAGACGAGCCTGGTTCTCTTTTCTAGTTTTCCAGTTCATCATCAATTCTGGCCTTAAACTAGGCCAGGATCTTGAGGCAAACAGAACATATTACAAGGTCATATTGCAGATATAAATTGCTCAAGTGCCTCGGTTTACATACTGTGCAACAGGTTTAGGAAACATATCGATATTAAAATTCTGTTTTCTGAGCAAATCTTTTGGGTTTCGGGAGCTAGAGTCGAGAAATGTAATGTATACAAGTATATCAAGTATCTTTCACTTTATAGTTATCGCCACTTTTTATGCAAACAGACAATAATTTAAAATGTACTAAATAAACTAATTCATTAGCCAGCTTTATAATACCCATTAGAGTCTACCTGAATAAACATACTTATGCTTTCGGGCGTATATGCATAATAACATAACTAAGCACACAATTTGTACGCTTTGAGCTGAAAACATGTTCAGGCACTTTAGAGTTGTGTCCTTAAAGTATCCCATTGGTAATATTTTGCCGGGCATGTCAGTTTGGGCGACATTAAAGAGCTCAGAATTGAGAGGCTGGGCTGGACCCCAACCAAATATCGACATGTTGTAATGCCAAGCTGCCTGCTAATAGCCAATGCAAAGGCACAAAGAACTTTACCCTTTTGGCAATTATCATAACTCTTTGGGCCAGAAGGCCAACCACATTCAAATAGGCGAAATTCACTTGGGCTAAAAACATTTTGCCAAAAATCCAAAAACCTGCCACAATTTTGGGTGGCATTGCGAAAATTGGTCACAAAACCACTGAAGTGCTTACTTTTATGAGACACTGTGTGTGTGTGTGTGTGTGTGTGTGTGTGTGTGTGTGTAAGTGTGTGTGTCTGTAAGTGTGTGTGTGTGCAAGTGTTGTGGGCTTCAAATATGTATGCCAACACACTGGCAACGGAACAGTTGAAGTTGTGCCTGCTGCTAAGTCTCATGTTTGCCAGCTGCATGCAGCTTTCATGAGCTTAAGGAAGTCATACAATATGCATGCTATATACACACACGTGGCTGTAAGTGTGTGAGTGTAAGTGTATGTGTGTGTGTGTATAGGAGAGTATGGGCTGTGCCAGGCACATAGTCAGTCAGCCGAAGTGCTCCGTGTGATTATAAAATTGCGAACTCGATTATGCACAAATTGCCTTGCTATCAAGTTGTTGTTGTTTCCTTTATACCCTGTACCCTTTGTATAAAAAATATATAAAATATAAAGGTTAATGGGCAAAGAGAAGCACTACACATAATCCTGCATATGCCATCACATGCACGCTTTGTATCTGTAGACTTTTGGCACATTTGAATGGCAGCTTTGAGCCCAGAAGGTCTGCATTGATTGTATTTGTGCATGCGTATTCATAGGCAACACCAAATGTACAGGGTAGCACTTGGCCGTGCAATCTTAGGCATGTTTGCCTTAAAGATTGCCGCCTGAACGCTGTAAGGCTTACGTGTATATTTGCGTCTTCTACACGCATGAGTTTGCTTTGTTTTACTTCGGTCCAAAACGTCTCTAATTAGCTTAAGTTAACACCTGAAAAGGTGTGAGCTCTACTCACACACATACGCACACACACACACACACGCACACATTTTACAGAAGCTGACCCTTTGTTATAGTCAGCAGTTTTTGAGGCTAATTGAAAAATGTTCTCTCGTATCTCAGGTATGGACCAGGCTGTAGCCAAAACGAACTGTTTTAGTAATACATTTAACTTTTTATCTATGGCCTACAACTGTGAGGTGGAGATGGTGGGGGTGTTGCGGGGTTGCGCAGGCTGGTCTGCATTGCTTATACATTTTTCGTTCAGTGCATTTTTATCGTATATCGCATTAGCAATGCATTTTTGTTAAAAGTTTCTGGTGCGGAAGAATGCCTTCAATGAGCTTATTTGATTTCTGATCTCTGCTTCTATATAGACATGTGCATGCATGTGTGTGTGTGTATGTGTGTGTGTGAGCATGTGTGGGTGTGCGAGTGTGTGTTGTTTTAGCTAACTCATCTGAGGCTGGCCACATGGCCACCGACTTTGGTACAACATAAATGCTTTGGTCAGCTTCAATGTTATGAATGTTTTAGTGCACACACACTCACACGCTCGCAAACACACACACACACACATACAGGCAAAGAAAACAAGTTAACACGCATATGGTTGAAGAAGACAACAACTTGACAGACTGAAAGAACAAACGTCAAGTCAGACAGCCGCTGCATACACACACACACACACACACAAACACGCGCGCACATCCACCAGAACACAATGGTCATAAATATTACATTTGCGGAAATGCAAATGACTGCCAAAACGGCTGCATGAGCCACGCCCACTGCTGGCATACGACCTGCCACCCCAAACCTGCTCCGCGCATACGCATATGATTCTCTAACTCATGTTCGTACTCATTTGAATGCCCAAAAAGAAATGTGCATATAAAATATTCGACATGCCACTCACGTGGAATGCGGCAGCCCACATTGTGCCACAGTGGTGCTAGAGTCATTTGTCTATGGCCAATTGCTAAATCTATGTCTAAAAGTGATGTCAAAATAAAAACGAAAATATACGTAGATTTCAAGTGACTTTTAAAGAAAGTTATGTTTTTATCAAGAATTTCAATTTATAATATTAAAAAGGAATTTACGTTCTATAATTAAGTTTTATATATCATCAGATACTCTACTATATCATTTTATTGATCAACAAATAGTTGAGCGACATATTTGAAAAACATTCAACAATTGACGAGCGTTTAAAAATTGAATGAGTGGAGTTTCAGCCGCATTTGCCTGACTGTGCGGCATTCATTTTAGTACAGGGTATATTCAAGCAGCCAGCTGGCCAAATTTAAATATTATTCATACCAATTTTGAAGGGTTAAACTAGTTTCAAACTGCTTTGAATAAAAACTGAGTTTTCTAAATGACTTTTCGCAAAAGAAACAAAGAGGTTGCGGGTTCGAATCCCAGCTCAGTGTACGCACAGGGTATTATGCTTAGTTTGCAATGAAATACCATACTAAAAATAGGGAATTGTTTGTACAATTTTTTTCCCATGATAATTTAACGAAACATAAATTGAAAAGTGCATGTAGTTTCTTCTAGTATATATAATTATTATTTTTGTTTTATTCTTGAGGCTCTTTTACCACTGTAGATGAACTGATGCTGTTGGCTGCTATTGTCGTTGCACACATCTGATGTTGTGTCAGTATTTTTTATGCGCTTATGCAAATAAAAATTGTGCACTAAAAATTCCATAAATTTGTTTTTGTTTTCCCACGCTCTTCTCTTCACTTGGTGCTAGTGAAAATTCTATGACAGCGCGAGGCGCACCGAAACGCCATAAACATCAGTCAAGATACTGGAGCCCGCTGCTGCAGCAATACTTTAGACATTTTAATGTAAGAGCAGGCGCTTCAATTGCTTAAATTACCAAGTTTATTACCAAGTCTCGACAAGGTGTCAAACTATGCAGGCAGGAAGCTGGCTGCTCCGAACTCTCAAGGAACTCCAAAGCAAACGGGCGCGCAGGAGTTTTGGCAGTGGGCGACAGCGTGTCGCCTGTGTAGCTCTTAATTTGGAATTTAAGGAAAATTACCAAGCTGCCTGATAAAGAAGGCAAATTGTAAATTGTAAATGAAATTATGTACTTGCTGTGTGAGTGTGTGTGTGTGTGTGTCTGTGCGTCAAAACAGACACGACAACGCGCCAGCGAAAAGGAGCTCTAAAAAAAAAGGTGTTGTTGATGCCGCTAAAAAATTTGTTTACCAGCGCGCAAGTAATCAAGCGTAACTATATCAAAATATATATATATATATATATATATATACAGACTGAATAAGTGGGAAAAAATAAATTGCTAAAGGTGTGCTGTTGAGGAATTTAAGCAAAATGCGGGCAATTTAAATGCGCAGCCAAAGAAAATGAAGAAGCTCTAAAGAAGTTGTCTGCCACGCTCGCTGGCAATTGGCTAGATTAATGCTAGAAAGCAACACTCAAAGCAAAAAAAAAAAAACAGCAGAAAAAAGGAGGGCGTGCCCCGCCTTCTGTTGACATTAGCAGCCAGCAAATTGCATGCAATCAAGCGCAAATAATTTCTGCGCCTTCGAGTTAAACATTCAATTTGTGCGCCTTTTATTGCACAATATTGTTTATTTGAGGTGGAGCCAAGGACGTCCACAAAGAGCACTTCTTTACAAAATAATGGAACAAACAAAGGCAAATGGCAAAAAACAAAAAAAATAAAATAGACAAGCTTCTAATATATCGAGCACACAAATAGAAAAGAGCATTAAAAGCCATTTGCCAATCATTGAAGTACATATTTTAAACAGAACTTTACTTTTTGGCTTGTTATTTTGAGCTCGAAAGTTACAGCTGCCATTATGAAGGCACAGAAGACCAGCTCTCGATTTCTATATACTTAGTTTCTCTCAGAACTGAAACGAATTCCGTTTAGGCATAGGCTTTTGTCCTTTGAAATGGATGTTGCACTCAACTCGGATACAACAGCAAAAGTTCAACATTTGCAACTTGCGAAGTGCGTGCATTTAAAACTGAAAATCAACATTTTGCTCTTCATGCAAGCTTAAACTTTGATCTAGATTTTTAGCTGGTTTTAAATTTAAAATAAACAACTAATAAGTTCTAGTCGAGAGCTACCCTAAACCCTCTTCT